GACCCCGCGGTGGTTAGCACGAGGCGGCCCCCCGCCTAGGCTAGTGCAGAGATCGTGGACCTCATCCAGATTTGGGAGGAGGCCTCCAACGTCCACGACCTCCGCACTAGGCACAGGAATGTGGCCATCTATGGAGGAATAGCTGCCAGCCTAGCCACCAAAGGCCACATGAGAACCCAGGAGCAGGTGTGAATGAAAATCAAGTTGGTCCAGTGAGACCCCCCAACCCTGAGCCCTGAACTTCCCCTCCCCGTTCTTCCCCTTGTTTCTCCCTTCCAGCTCCCTCCTCCCAGGTTTCCCCCTCCCCTCTCCCACCCTCTTTCTTCCCCTTTCCCACCTCCTTTTCCCAGTCTCCCCAGAGGTTCATCCCCCTCCCCCAGTTTTGTTCAATAAACCCAGTTTCTATTTTTGAACATACGTGTCTTTTATTTGACATCAGGAAGGGGGGTTAGGAAGGAATAAGTGGGAGGAATGGGGCACAAACCTCCGGTGGGGAGGACTGGGGTGGCTCTGAGGGCTCCTCGGGGTGGACGCTCTCCCGCAGGGCCTCCTGGATACTGACAGCCCTGCAATGGACCCCCTGGATGGCAGCTGGGCTGATGGCAACGACCCCACGAGATGCACCAGCATGCCCAGGGGCTGCTCTGGCTCCATGTGTCCGAGTGCTGTGGTATCCCGAGTGCGGGCACTCAGGTCACTCCCAAGACAGGACTGCTTTGCTGTCCCTCGTTGAGTTAGACAAGCAAGCGAGGAACCCTGAGAACTGTCTGTCCGGTGTGGGAGTAGGATCCCTTTAAGCACGGAGCTCAGTTAGCCTCAGGCAGCAGCCCCACACTCTAAGTCCTAACCTGATGCCCTGCTGGCACTGGTTCCGGCCAGCCTTAACTTCGGTTCAGGGTCCACTCAGTGTGGATGTGCTATTTTGAAATAGCAAAATGCTGTTTCAAAATAGATTTTGTGTGTAGATGCGTTAATTCGAATTGGCGCTATAGTGTAGACATACTCTATCAGATCAGTGATACCCTGTTGGTGTCTGTCTTGTACAGAATATTCTGCCAGATAAATGGTTGTGGGTATTACATAATATGAGAAGGAGTGGGACTTATATTTTACAAGACAGAGCTGAGAGAATTCCTAATGGAACACTGATTTAAATGCTAATCATTTTAAGGGGAGGTAGAACTAGAAAGACAATGAAGAACAGGCTCTTGTGATATATCTATGGAGCTTTTGTAGTTCAAGGCAGAGAAGGGACCAGTAGATTATGTCTAAACTGTTGACTTAATTTCCAAAGAAACAGAGTCTCACAGTAACAGGTGTTTTTAAACCTTTTTAACTTTAAAGTCTTAGCTCCTGATATGATAATCTTAGTTTACCTTTTTTAAAACTGAAAGCTTCTAGCTCTCATGGCTTTGGAGAAAAGCTTAAAAACGTTAATTCTAAAGGCTTAGCAACTCAAAGGCAAATATAAAGAATTTATTATATTTCAGATCTTATTATTTTAAAACCATTGTTTTAACTTTGATAGATCTAACTTGTGTTCTGATGCTATGGGTTGGCAATACTGAGACTCACCTATGGACAAAAACATACTTAAGCTGTTGTATAGGCACAGACCCATAATTGTTTCTTGTTATCAATAATTTGATGTTGATACAACTAATAGTCTCAAATAGAGTTTGAAGTGTGATAGAACAGAAGAGGTCAAATTCATTCCAGAATCAACTCCACGGAAATCGGTTAATTTATATCAGAAATTAATTTTGGTCCAGTGTACTTGGGGTTGAAGCAAGAGGAAATTCCACTTCAAGTTGGACACAGATGTACTGTAGTCTGTCTTTTAAAAATACCGCATTAATTAAAGGGAATTTCCCAGTCCAATTATTTATGCCAGCTCTTATTCATCTGGTGCTTTCCTGTTGCTATGAAATTACTGTATTTTGTTGCTTGGGAGGTCAGGGACTTTAATCAACTGTTCGTTGTCCTGTAAATGGTGAGAGAGAAGGAGAGAGAATTTTCAACCCTGTTCTAGCTGTATGGACCTTGAAAAAAATTCAGACACAATAAACACTTGACCTACAAAAAAGCAAGAATTACTGTCAGGCTACACGGTGATGGATAGGGCCAATGAACTGCACACTAAGCTTCTTCGAACAGGGGCACAACTATGTAAAGAGTGGAATAGGCAGTTGCAGTAAAATACCTATATATTGCAATATTAATTTTCCACAGTCCCATAACCAGTCATACCTTCCAGGCTCTTAGTTAGTTGTTTGAAGATGGTGTAATTGTGTGGGCATTTAGCTACCATATGATGGGCATACTAGAAATGCCCAGTCGATATTCTTTAGTAGCAGAATGCCATATAAGAAAGTTCAGAACATGCAACACAGATTAAAAAATACAACAAACTGAACATAATACAGAAGCTGAGTAGGTCACTGCAATACTAAGATGGCAACTGTGTAGTAAGTCTTAAGTCACCATTACCTGAGCAGCAGTTAACTTCACAATCCTACTGCTTTTTGGAAGAACATTCCAGAAGTTGAGTATATAACAGCTAAAAGTCAGATCATTTGAGTATGTAAACAGAGGGGCTGTGTCTAGACTGACAAGTTTTTCCACAAAAGCAGCTGCTTTTGCGGAAAAACTTGCCAGCTGTCTACACTGGCCACTTGAATTTCCACACGGACAGCTCAGATTTGTTTTCCACAAAAAAGCCCGGATCGCGAAAATGGCGATCGGGGCTTTTTTGCGCAAAAGCGCGTCTAGATCAGCACGGACGCTTTTCTGCAGAAAGTGCTTTTGCAGAAAAGCGTCCATGCCAATCTAGACGCTCTTTTCCGCAAATGCTTTTAACGGAAAACTTTTCCGTTAAAAGCATTTGCGGAAAATCATGCCAATCTAGATGCAGCCAGGAGGAAAATCATCAGTTGTGCTTTAACTTTGATTTTCCTGGGTTTGTAATGTTTGATTTGTGACACCTGCAACATCTCTATAACTTGCTTTTCTTCTTCGAGAGAGATCCCTGTGGGTGCTCCACATTAGGTTGCTGTGCTTCTGCCAGGCCCATTCTCTGGAGTCTTCAGAGCAATGTCCCTGTGGCCACACGTACGGGTGCCTCAAGCTGCATGCTCCTATTGTGCAAGCATCGCACATGCATGAGCCCCCCACCTGAGTTCCTTCTCTATAGCTTCCAGTTACAGATGGAGCTCGGCAGTATTCCCAACCTCATTCTGCATTTTAGATAAGTAGATCAGATTTTTTCCCCAGTTTTTACCTGTAGTCAGTTAGTGAGTTATCCCCTTATTTGTAGTTATCTTAAAAAAATTTTCTTCCATGTTTTGCTCCCTGTAGATAGCTTCAGAGGGTAGCTGAGTTAGTCTGTAC